AAATCCTTTGGAAAAACAAATACGCAACCTAGAATCTCTCCTTTCTGCCAACGCACAGATTTGAGCTATTACATTTTTTTTTAAGGCAGAGATCCCTTTCCTGCTTTTCCAGAGGACCATATTGAAACAATAAAAAAAAATGGACCACCTTTCACAATGGATCTCCCAAAATGTTCTGTTGTTCCCAGTTTATTCTTTTGATGAGTATTAGCTGAGCCTCTGCTACAAACCAGGCACTGGGGATATGGTGGCAATAAAAACAAACAAGTTCCTACCCTCATGGAGCTGACATCTCAGTAGATGAGCAACTGTTTTATCCTGACAAAAATCTGGCTTCCCCATGCTTCCATTCCCTATCTTTATCCTAGGTTGCCATTTGTGTGTGTGTGTGTGTGTGTGTGTGTGTGTGAATCCAAAAACATAGACAAAGATGAAGGAAACTAAAGGAAACCAGGGATTTGGGTCCTAATGCCAATGTCAGAAGCGGGACTGTGTAGTGTAGCCATGGAAAGAGATGATCTTCAGACTCCAAATAACTTCCAACTTTCAGTTTAAGGTCAGGAATAAAAAAGACTTCCAGAAGGTACATGTAGTCAGAAGTTTATTCCTTTAACATATCACATCTCCCTCTCCCTCCTTCCCCTTTCCTCCTTTTCTGTCACACACACACACACACACACACACACACACACACACACACACAGAGCTTCCACCCACCAGGAAAAAAATACCTCAAAGATACACACACACACAAATATACAAACTATACAAAACTCCACAAATACACAAACTACACACGATAGGAAACCCAGGCATGCCCACATAAAGGCATGCATTACATATTTTCAAGGACACACTGACACAAACATAACCATTACCTTCTCTCACCTGTAACAGAATGGCCACAATTATGAGCAACAGTACACATATCAAAACACTCTCTAACACAGGCTGTGATTCTCAGTCCAGCTGTCCCTGAGCTGCTCTCCCCACTGCTTCTATAACGTTCTGAAGATTACATAGTTGGTAGCCAACTTCATATACATGCCTGCAAACAAGAGGGCTCAGCTTTAAATAATTATGTCAAATAGAAATGACAACTGTGCTCTTTGCCAGAACAGGGATGAATAATTACAAAGCCAGGACATAATTAAGCAATTCTGACTGTCGGATTCTTGAACTGTCTGATGTGTAGGGCTGGCATGCCCACCATGCATACCCTCCTGGACAGGCTTCATGCCCCTTTGATTTATGTTGCCTGATGTGGCAAGGGGGATCATGGTCTGGTCATCACAGAAGCCTTTCCTTGGGGGCCCCCCCCCACCTTCTCTGCATCCAGCTTGGTGCTCTTGGCATTGACAATGGCATGACTCCATGGCCAATATTTGCAAAAAAAAAAAAAAGATATAGCTTTTCTTTAAAATTCCAGGAAATGAGCAAAGCCTAGTTGCTGTAGGTCCATTAACTAACAAGACAAACACACCAGCCTAGAAGAGTCCATTGTAGCATTAGCTATCACTTCCCTAATGAGTGATGGCATCTTTCTATAGGACAATCAGAGCTCAGACAGAAAGCAGCTTTTAAACAACAAAAGCCAAAGGGCAGCAACGAAGGGGAAATGTGTCATCACAAGAGAAGGCCAGCGCAAACTCGCACTCAAGCCCCAGGGCCTGCCAGGTATCAAATCAAACCTTTGTGACATAGGGGGTTTATTAGTTACTGGATGATTTTGCTTTTGCGTCAGCCGAGAACACCCAGACTGCCTGTTCCCTACCTCCAAGGCAAGGGCTGTGATTGGAGAGGCATTTTCCATTCTCCCAAACACTTTATGTCAGGAATAAAATGAAAACTGCTCCCCAAATCACGGCCTCCTGGATCATCCAGCAGAGCATTCTGCTGAATAAGTACAACAGGCCACTGCAGCCTGAGAAAGGACAGAAGCCAACTTGAGATTCCGATTCTGTGATGAAAAATAGGTCTTCACCAAGCGTGCTCAGCACAGCATCGGCAATTCACAGGGAGGAAATTGCTCTCCACTTAGAAGCCGACTCCGGGTGTACACAGACCTCCCAGAACATACATATGTATACACACACAGAGATCGAGGGCATATATACACACCTGCACAGGAACAAACAGACGTCTGCACACACTGTGAGCAGGCGAGAACCAGCCTTTTTAACACCAGTTTATTAATTCAGCAAGAAGCTCATTTGGACTCGTTCTCTCTGCAAGAAAAGTACCAATGCGTATCTCCGAAAACAGGCCGGGGGGAGCAGCCTGGCATTCGAGAGAAGCATACAGTGTGATGTGAAAGCGGGGGCACAGCCAAGTAAGTCCTGTGTGTGTGAAGCATCAGGGCGTAGATACAGCACTTCACTGGGAGCCCGGGCCCCTGGGTTTTGATCCCAGCTCTGCCTCCACCAGACCGTGGGGGCCTCCAGACACAACCTCCTCACCCGGTTCCTTCACCCATCAAACGACGGCACACACCAGGTGATTTCGGAAGTCCTCTCCAGTGTGGAAATCATGTGACTCTCCAAAAAGGTAACAGTTGAAGATCCCCATGCTTTGTCAGAGCATCTTTTGTCTCTCCTCAACTAATTAATGGGTATTTTTAAGCTTAACACCATTAGTAAAGATGTGGGAGTCAATCACACAAACATAAGCTAATTCTATAATTGATTAGAAACTACTTTGGAGCTTTGAAAATCATGTCTGCTCATGCTGCTCATGACTCAGAGAGCCGGCTACTACTGGATTTTAAGGAGCCCTTCCCACTTGCTTTCAAAGGCCAGGTGGGATTTCAGTCCTGGCTGCCATCTCGACCCCAAGAGAGCAGGGCAGCTTTTACCTATTTTCTTCCTTTAGGCCTTCTTAGGAGGTTTTTATTTGGAACAGAGAAATGCACGGGGAAAATGGGTGGCTCACTGGCTCCAGGGGTAAGATCCCAGTTGAAGGATGTGGCTTCTGTGGTCAGACACGCCAGTCAAGCTCCAGTCCCAGCTCTTACTAGCCAGGCTGCCCAATTAACTTAGCTGGGCTGCCGAATTAACACCTCTAGGCCTCAGTTACCCCACCTAAGAGTCAGCCAATGCTCCCTTCCTCCTACATTTCAGGGGGGGGATTGTGTGAGGACTCACAGATCTGAATACAAAGAGCCTTAGGGCAGTGGTGAGCACACATGTGGGTATTGTATTTAGTGCCCCTTCAGAGTTCCTGGGACAATGCAGAGCTTCCCCTGTCAAGAAGAGGGAGAGCAGGAGAAATACTGATCTGTCCTAGAAAGGGCATGCGTACATGAAGGTGGAAAATGTTGAATGGGCAGGAACCCAAGATATTATATAAACAGTTCATTTGTTGTCCTTTGTTTGGTGATGTTGGCTGCCTCTGAAATCTTTTAACCAAAAAAAAAAGATGCCAAGAAATAAATTATTTCATTTGGACAAAATTACAAAAGCTGGAATAACTAAAGGCAGTCACGAGCAATACATCAAATTTGTGCCTCGATAAGGAAAACTGTTAACACTTTAATAGCTATGAAACGAATCACTCAATTAATTTCCCACATGCTGAAACAGGTAACAATACATTTATCTGCCAGTATTATACCCTCTGTATCATATATTTCCACAACTGTTAGCAATTTTATTCAGCATAACGGGAAATAAGTTGCACCTCACGGATTCAGGGAAAGAAAGTGGCCTGAGGCCGGCTGCCAGCCGAGCAACTTGATGGAAGAGGTTTCCTTTTTCTGTTTAGGTTCTGTTTGTTTTTTTTCTCTTTCCCTCTTAATCATTTCCAATGCGTGTGCAAGGCGCTCTAAGTCAATAAACGAGGACAAACTAGACCTCCAAGATTTCTGGGCCAGTGTTTTCAACACACAAGCTGGGATCCCACAGGAAGTGACTAGATAGCTCCACGGGGCCCTGGGGCAGTAATGCACCTTGAAAGGAGTCATCAAGGGCCATCTGGTCCATTCCTTGGCCTTGGGCTTCATGGAAGGACCCCAACTCCTCCCAAACAGATAATTTTTCACATCCTTAAAAATCTCTTTGAATCTGAATCCAAGACTCAAAGCCACATCTCCCCTGCCTCATCAACGCTGTCATTAAGATGACACCATATTCACTTCCACGGCCTCGACACAGACTCAGGTGATAAAAGAAAGGTCAGTAAAACTATTCCCATGAGCTCTAGAGAACTGCATGTAGGGAGAAGATGCTAGACCCAGGTCATATTGCCAGGAAAAAAATGGCCTTTCCTGCTAATAATATCTCCAAGAGCTATTGAGCCCTCATACCTATGAACAGAAGAAAATCACTGTCCCCTACCTCCACTATGGCCCCAAGACAGGAGAGCTCCCTCCGGGTCACTAGAGGAATCCTATCCATCTGAGGAAAAGTAAATGCTCCAAGATGTCTTCTTTCTCTGCAACAGACCTGCAGAGGTCCCACCTTGTAAACAAAACATCTTCAAGAAGGAGACCTGAAATCTGCCCCCCAGAACATCACCACTGGGCTGCGTATGGTGCTGCTTTATTGGTAAAAGAGCCACCTGGGGGGGCGCCTGGGTGGCTCAGTCGTTAAGCGTCTACCTTCGGCTCAGGTCATGATCCCGGGGTCCTGGGATCGAGCCCCACATCGGGCTCCCTGCTCCGCGGGAGGCCTGCTTCTCCCTCACCCACTCCCCCTCCTTGTGTTCCTTCTCTCACTGTGTCTCTGTCAAATAAATAAATAAAATCTTTAAAAAAAAAAAAAAAAAAGAGCCACCTGGGTGAAATCACCTTACAAATAAGGTCCCCTTAGCTGGATCACAGGAAGATCCAATTTATTGTAGAAGTCCTACTTCTTGATGGGCCAACAGTATATCCATGGATAAAACCCTGATGGGAGACCTCTCCTGCATTCCAAACACAGAAGAACATCCTCTGTGCTCAAAGAATAACCAGTGAGGCAAGACATAAGTCCCTTGTGAAGACCAGAAAGTAGGCAGCTTACCTTGGGCTTCACCACCTTCATGAATGACCCTCTGAGCAAAGCTTCCTCTCGTTCTTGTCTGGTTACTTTACGGGCATCCAGAAACTTCAAATTGGGCAGCTTGTGCAGAACAAAGCATCTGAAAGAAAACAGTCAGAGAGGGGTGCCTGGGTGGCTCAGTCGTTAAGCGTCTGCCTTCAGCTCAGGTCATGATCCTAGAGTCCTGGGATCGAACCCCACATCGGGCTCCGTGCTCAGTGGGAAGCCTGCTTCTCCCTCTCCCACTCCCCCTTCTTGTGTTCCCTCTCTCACTGTCTCTCTCTCTGTCAAATAAATGAATAAAATCTTAAAAAAAAAAAAGAAAGAAAGAAAACAGAGACAATGCAGGAGGGTAGGTGATGGCCTCAAAGATCCATGCAATTTGTCTCATGCTCAGGGATCTACATCATTAGGTCTTCAGAAGTTTAGACCTTCGCTCTGCTTCTCTTTTCTTTCACAAATAATGATCACTCTTTGCAGAAATCCACATAATTATATTTTACACACACAACTAATCCTTAAAAATGTACACTAATGATTGCCCTTGATTCAAATGTAGACACACACACACACACACACACACACAGAATGCACACACCCAATGAGCCAGGAAGATCCTTTCAATGTATATCCCCCCGCCCTTCCATTCTAGAAATGGGCCCGGCTTCTTTGCTACACAGAAAGTTCTCAGGGAAACTAACCTATAACCTAATTGTACTATTATGCCACTGCCATTCCCATGAGTCATCTGTGTAACTCTCATTTCTGAGATAAAAGCAAATCTTTGGGATGCCGGGCTGGCTCAGGCAGTAAGAGCATGTGACTCTTGATTTCAGGGTTGTAAGTTCAAGCCCCACAATGGGTGTAGGGATTATTTAAAAATAAAATCTTCAAAACAGAACAAAACAAATCTTCAATTTGAAACTATGACAAGAAACATTGACTGGCCGTTCAGGACAATAAACTAGAGGTTGTAATAACATAGATGACTTTGGGATAGAAGTAAGGAGCACACATAACTGAGAAATGCTTCCTTGAAGAATTGAACAGGGGTCTTGAGGATTTTCCTCACCATCCCTGAGTTACTTCCACACTGGCACTAAGAAGATTATTTTTACCAAGGTGAAACAAGAAGAATCAGTTTATAGGGGATATTAATTTAATAGCCCAACAAATACTAATACAGATTCCCCCAGAAAGAGTCTTTGGTGTCCATCATGGCCTCCAAGGATAAGCTAATGGCTACTTGTGTGATGAACTGTCCTCAAGCAGGTATATTTGGAATTGATGAGAAGATCCACGTGGCCATGGGATAGGTATATAAACATACAAATAAATACATAAAGGGTACAGATACCTGCCTATACTTTTTCCTCAGGGACAGTTACCAACCCAGATGCTTTCCATCGAGCCCCCATACTTGATCACTCAAAGGAGCTATTGTTTAGACCCTGTCCTGCTTAGGAAGAAGAGGTAAGTATCCAATGTCAAGAGCAATAGATTATCTCCACAGGAATCTGTCATTTCCTTCCTGTATTCAGCCTCTTCAGTATCCACTCATCTTTCAAATCCCAACCCACATGAACTTTTCTTCTGCATCTCCAGACCATATTGTTTTCTCCCCTCTCTGCACTCCCAGGATATACTGCGAACACCACACCATATAACATTTGGTTGTTTTTTAATCATTTTATTGGTGTTCAGTTGATGTCCTCACCTATAAGCTTCTTAAAGGCAGGGACGTTATTTTTCTCACCCTCATATTGTCTCAAAAAGTAGCTTTAGAATGGACTCAAAAAAACACCAGTTTATTTCAGTTGTATGAATATTTCTTGAGCACCTAACATGTGCCAGGCCCTAGGTACACAGAGGTGATTATAACATGATTTCTACTCGTAAAGGGGTTCTCAGTATAATGGGGAAGATAGACTCATACAGAAAAATTAGAAATCCACACAGCTAAGTGCTGAGATTGGGGTTATGTGCAAACTAAGTCTGGGGAGCACAAAGAAGGGGACCTAACATTACTCACTGAATGACTGAAAACGAATGGCTGGAGGAGAAAGAGGAGAAACAAGAAATCAAAAGTGATCTTCAAAGAACCAAACCCTAAAGCAATCTTTTTTTTTAATTTTTTTATTGTTATGTTAACCACCATACATTACATCATTAGTTTTTGATGCAGTGTTCCATGATTCATTGTTTGTGCAT